GGCACTCGCCTATAGTCCCAGGTACTAGGATGCTGAAGCAGGAGGCTCGCTTGAGCCTAGGAATTCTAATCCAGCCTGGGCAAAATAGCAAGACGTTGTCTCTAAAACACACACACACGGGCCCTATAATTTACATTCCTTTAAAAAAATATATAACAATGCCCATTTCCTCATATCTTTATAAATATTGGATAAGTTTAACTGGTGACAATTTGATGGACAGAAATGTTTCATTTTAATTTACATTTTTCTGATCGCTAGAGAGGCTTAGTATTCCTATAAATCAGAAAAACATAGCTCTATTTTAACTATTACACAGGTGGCAAATAATTTTCCTTAAACTAAATAGTACCTTTTGCAGAATACAGAAGTTTTATATATATATATATATATATATATATATATATTTTTTTTTTTTTTTTTTTTTTTTTTTTTTTTTTTGAGTTGGAATCTCACTCTGCTGCCCAGGCTGGAATGCAGGGGCACACTCATGGCCACCGCTTCCTCGACCTGCTGGGCTCAAGCAATCCTTCCACCTCAGCCTTTCAAGTAACTGGAACTACAGGTGCAAGCCACCCCAACAAGATAATTTTTTCGTTTATTACAGATAAGAGGTCTCACCAGGTTTCCCAGGCTGCTGGCAACTGGCAATCCTTTCGCTGCAGGCTCCCAAACTGCTGGGATTACAGGCTTGAGCCACTGGGCTCGGCCCAGAGATTTTATATTTTTATGTAGCTACATCTGTCAATCTGTTGGGATTTCAAAAGATTAATTTTTGAAGAACCATCATCTCCAGAATTTTCCATTGTCCCATTTAGGAATATAGTATACCTACCATTTTCAAATGTTATGGGTTTTTTAAAAGTCTATTCTTAAATATTTTATAGTTTTGCTTGCTATTATAAACAGGATCTTGTTTCCATTTGATTGGTTATAGCTGACATATAGTAAAGCTATATTAATTTTGTATCCATCCATTTTTGTTTTAGAAAACTTGCCTTAAGAATTGGAATTTTCATTTCTTTGTTGACCTATGGCTTTGTGTTTATAGTAAATTTTTTGTTTTGCCAGTGAGTATAGAAATTCCATCTATTCTTCTTATCATGTGCGTTATCTTATTTCTCTTAGGTTGAGGTCTCACTCTGTCACCCAGGCTGAAGTATAGTGGTATGATCATGGTTCACCACAGCCTTAACCTCGTGGGCTCAGGTGATCCTTCTGCCTCAGCCTCCCAAGTAGCTGGGACTACAAGCATGTACCACAACACCCAGCTAACGTTTTGATTTTTTGTAGAGTCGAGGTCTTACTATATTGCCTAGGCTGGTCTTGAATTCCTGGGCTTAAGCAATCCTTCCACCTTGCCCTCCCAGAGTGTTGGGAGCCACTGCATCCAGTCTTATCATGTGCTTTTTGGACACTGAGTTGATGTTGAGAGATGTATCTATAGGCAAAATAAGAACCAATTTACATACAAGTTGACTCATATTAATTTTAATGTTCTGAAATGGATGTTATACAAACTATCTGCCATATTCCCCTAGCTTCAAATCTTTTTTTTGAGTTGGAGTCTCACTCTGTCACCCAGACTGGAGCACAGTGGCACGCTCTGGGTCATCGCAGCCTTGACTTGCTGGGCTCCGGCGATCCTTCCACCTCAGCCTTCCAAGTAGCTGGAACTTCAGGTGCACACTACACGCCCGGTTAATTTTTGATTTATTGTAGAGGTGAGGTCTCGCCAAGTTGCCCAGGTGGGTCTCGAACCCTCGGGCTCAGGCAATTCATTCACCTCGGCCTCCCAAAGCATGGGATTACAGGCTTAGCCACCAAGCCCAGCTAGCTTCAAATCTTTAGTGAAGGATTCTTCCCTGATATGCTTCCCAAATATGATTCTTCTGCCATATACCATTTATAGTTTCTACCAAGAAATTGTTTTATAAAGCCTTGCTGGGCCTCTGAGCCTGGACATCTGCAATTAGAATACATATGCCCACCCAATACAACATGGTGACTAAAGTTAATAGCAATATACTGTATTTTTGAAAATTTCTAAGAGTAGATTTTAAGTGTTCTCACCACAAAATAGATAAGGATGTGAGATAATACATATGTTAACTAGCTGGATTTAGCTATTCCATAATGGATATATACATTAAAATATGTTGTACACATTATATACAATTTTTACAATTAAAATAAATTAAAAAGTTTAAAAAATAAAGAAAAAGAATACACACACCCACTTTCATTAGATTTCAATAGTCAAAGGGTAATGTTAGATTTTGGCAACTTCCTGTGTGAATATGGCAAGTTTTAAGAAAAAAACTAAATTAAAAAAGATGTCATTAAAGCTGGGCATGTGACATACACCTATAGTCTCAGCTACTACAGGAGGTTGAGGCAGCAGAATTGCTTGAGGCCAGGATTCAAGGCCGCAGTATACTATGATCACACCTATGAATAGTCACTGCACTTCAACCTGGGCAACATGGTGAGATACTGTCTTTTAAAAAAAAAATGTTTAAAGATTTAATTAATTAAATGTTGACATTGTACAAGAGAGAAGTTAAGTACTTAGATAATTTCAATCTCAAAGCTGTTGTAAATGATTTACAGGTGTAGCGGTTTACTTTACAGAATACACTCTCAGTCCTTATTTTGCAATAGGCCAAGAACTCATGAACTACTTTAAACTATTAAATAACCAGTTAAAATCCATATAAATATATGTTATTTAAGGATAGAGTTCCAAATCTTTCAAAATTTTGTGATAGTCAAGCCTGTTGTTGATGTTTATATACTTCATATATCATGCAGTCTTAAGGCATGAAGTACAATATAATATCTACCTATTTATATCTGCAAAAGAGGGTGGACTCCCCCAAAAACCCAGAATTATTTTTTGGAGGGTGGGCCCTTGTAGTATAGGCTTCCTCCACTAGGTAAATGTTCTAAGAACCCATTGGCATCAGTGCTCTAGCTAGCACGTGAGAGGCTGTGTTTGGCTTCAGTGAATTTTTTTTGGAGAGTCTTTCAACACGTTTGCCCATTTCATGATAAGTGGTTTACAAGCACATCTTCCCATACTGTGGTGAGTGTTCAGCAGTTTTTGACTAAAAATGGCATGACCCCTGTACCCCACCCTCCCTGTTCACCTGATCTTGCCTGAGTGACTTTTTTCCCCCCCGTATGAAGAAAGCCCTCAAAAGGAAACATTTTGCAAATGTGGAAGAGGTGAAACAAAAAAAAAACAGCATTAGCACTAAAAGTCATCAAAATGGATGAGTTCAAAAACTGTTTTGAGCCGTGAAAAAAGCATCTTGATATGCTTACTGCATCAAATGGAGAGTACTTTTAAGATGACTGAAGTTTAAGCATGAAGAATACACAATTTTTAATAAACAAATTCTGGTTTTTTTGTGCCCCCCTTGTATATCTTAAAGAAAGTCTCTAAACCACTAACTTTAGCACATATGGGAATTATTAACATCTATTACAATTTTTTCTCTATCATTTTGTTACATATAGATGAATTACTAATCTCTACGGGTACTAATGATGACAGTTTATAAAAAATAAATCTGATGAGATTTAAATTAATGTGAGTAAAGAATGGAACCGGGAAATTCAGGTTAATGAAAAAAACTAGTGAACTTTCTAAAAATGTTCAATGACACTGCAACAATATAGAATACATATTAAATTTAAATAATATCAGCCAACTTTCTTCAAAATATATAATATAGACACTACGGAAGTAATAGAAAGTCATTTATACAGTGATTGCACTGTAAAGAGTTTCAGCATTCCTTATAAGGGCAAATTTCAAATCTGAAACAACTTTCATTTTTCTCTAGGTATAATTTCTGTATACATAATAAAAAATATACATAGGGGATGAAAAACTAGTGAATCTTTTGACATGTACATTCATTACACAGAATACAAACTGATCTCCTCAAAAGTATTAGGAGACATTAAGGGTAGCTTAAATTGAAATAATTTTGATAATTTTTTTACCTCTTAAATTCATATTATACTTTATAATATTACACTTTATATCCAGCATGGATATACCAATATATATGGACAACAAACAATGCTTGCACTAAGAATCCTGTAAAAATTAAAAACCTTGTATTATCATCATCAAATAAAATAATTTATCAGTGAATGGGAGAGAACATATTATTCACAAGAACACAGAATGGCAAGGGTACACAGACAAAAGAGAAACAAAAAGATATTAAATACGCTGTTACAGTTCCTACCATTACATGGTAGAATGCCAAGTCCTTTTGTGTTACTGCCCATCACATCAGGGACAGGATATGTGGAAGAAAAGCATTTAAGTCTCATTGATTGAAATGAAAAGAATACAGCCATACATTGCATTTTCATAATAAAGTCTAACTTGTTCTAAATACAGTTAATTCTACTAAGGTCATATTATATAGTTTGATCAAGGACCACTATTTTCTTTTTTTTGAGTTGGAGTCTCACTCTGTCACCCAGACTGGAATGCAATGGCCGCTCCCGGCCACCGCAGCCTCGACCTGCTGAGCTCCGGCGATCCTTCTGCCTCAGCCTTCCAAGTAGCTGGAACTACAGGCACGCACTACCACGCCCGTCTATTTTTGATTTATAGTGGAGATGAGGTCTCGCCAAGTTGCCCGGGCAGGTCTCGAACCTGGGCTCAGGCAATCCACACACCTCGGCCTCCCAAAGTGCTGGGATTACAGGCTGAGCCACCGAGCCTGGCCAGGACCACTATTTTCTAAAAAAAAAAAATTGGATTTCTTTATTGATAGTGACCCTAGGTAATTTTAATATTTTATTAATCTATTTTCAAAAGACTGATGAAAAATGTCTTTGTAAGAACACAGAGATACTCTCTTATCTCCAAAATGAAACTGTACAATTATTTGTTACAGAAATAATTCCAGTGCTTTAGGGAACAAAGGCCATCTTTTGTGGAAAGGTGGAACACACTGTGATTTTTCTGACCAATTTAATATTTTTGGGGACTAAATATCCTTAATTTAATAATTCAAATCTAATAATTGCATTTCACGTTCGAGGAAAACTTACCAATTTGTCAAGTAAGACACAACAGTTTTAAATAGCTATTTAAGAACAAATACTCATCAAGGTCAAAGAGAAGTGAATATATCTCCCCAAACATTTATTTTACTTTATAAAATTTGATTTTAAATAAAAATGAACTGTCTTCTTATCTAATTTCCTTTAGAAATACTTAGCTATGTTCTGCAGTTTCAGCAATATTCTTTTAACATGAAATTTAAATATGAAGCTATTCTTTAATTCATTCATTTTCAGTATGTCAGTTCAGAGAAAAATGTCTGCAATTCCAGGACTTTCATCAGAGTTATATTTTTTAAAGTTAAAAGTACAAAGATTTGTCTTATCCTAGAACATTCATTGCTTCTGAGTTGGTGCATCACAATATGGCACATTTTCTATAAGAAGGTCTTTCCTAGGGACTAATTCTGAAAGAAAAATAAAAAGAGAATAATTAACATCACTAAAAATAAAATGCAAGTACATTCATTTTTCCCTAAAATTTATAATGGCAAAATGTCTAGTTTTTTTTGTTTTTTTTTTTTTGAGTCAGAGTCTCACTCTGTCATCCAGGCTGGAGTGCAGTGGTACGCTCACAGCCACTGCAGCCTCAACCTGTTGGTCAGGTGATCCTTCTGCCTCAGCCTTCCAAGTAGCTGGAACTATAAGCACACGCCAACACTCCCGGTTAATTTTTTTGATTTGTTATAGAGATGAGGTCTTACCAAGTTGCCCAGGCTGGTCTTGAACCTGTGGGCTCAGGCAATCCTCCCGCCTCGGCCTTCCAAAGTGCTGGGATTATAGGCGTGAGCCAATGCGTCCAGCCCAAATGTCTAGTTTTTTTTTTTTTTTTTTTTGAGTTAGAGTCTCTGTTGCCCAGACTGGAGTGCAGTGGCCACCTGGACCTGCTGGGCTCCGGCGATCCTTCCGCCTCAGCCTTCCGAGTAGCCGGAATTACAGGCATGTGCTACCACGCCCGGCTGATTTTTTGATTTATGTAAAGATGAGGTCTTGCTGCCCAGGCGGGTCTCGAACCCGTGGGCTCAGGCAATCCACTCACCTCAGCCTCCCAAAGGTGCGGGATTACAGGCTGAGCCACTGAGCCCGGCATGTCTAATTTTAAAGGTAAATCTTCCAGGTATATTTTATTTTAGTTGACATCTAAGGTGAAATCTTTAATTCTAAATGGAGCCAGTTAATAGGATTCTCATTTCAGATTATAAAAAACATAAAATCAACTTAATCCTTTATCATTTATTTATTAAATATCAAACAACTGAATGGAATTCAGCTAAAACTTAATATTACTGGCCATTTAATTACCAATTACTGATAATTAAAACAATTGGAAAAATTGTTTATACAATCTACTATAGGAAAAGCAAGACTCCCCAGATTGGATTAAGATGGCAAACATGAGGCAGCTAGAGTGAGTTTCTCCTATGAAGTAAATCAAGATAGAGTTTCCTCAGCATCTGGAGAGGAACGTGACCAGGAGCATGCCCCAGGACTCTAAAAAGAAGCGATAATGACCAAAGAGGGCAAAGAAGAGAAAAATTCATTGGCCTGGGTTAGAACTAGCCAGACTCTCACCTGTAGCACCACAGTCCACTGGCAGCCTCCATATGCAGTGGGGAAGATGAGCGAGGGGAATTCAAGAGTTCTGTGCTCCTGCCCTGGGATTGGGGTCGAGGGAGCCCTGAACCTTGTGGAACTCCAGTCCCTCAGGGAAACCACCTTACCCATAGCCATGCTTTGCCAAAACTCACATGGAATGGTGCAAAAAAAAAAAGAAAGCATAGAGCAGCAACAGCAGCTATTTATCAGGAATACAACCCTTGTAGGTTGTGTGGCTGCTTTCTAGCTGGCCTGGCAGGGATAGGCCCCAAGGGCAAACTCCTCAGCTGCAGACAGTTCTGGGCTGGGGTGGGTTGCAGAGAGAACACATGAGTCCCTGAGGACTGATGCACTTTGACATTAACAAGACAAACTGCCTGAGGCCAAGGTGAGACACCCACAGGACTCATTGCCATAGCAATCTCATTCCACATGTAAACTCTTCTGTGCCCACCTTTCACAATAGTATTATTTCAGTGGCCTGCGACACCCTCCTAATCTCCACCTAATCTCCACCAGGGCAGCCAAGAATGCACTCTTGCTGGGTGCTAAAGCTCCTTCCGTCTGTTCCCACTCCCCTTAAAGGCTCAAAACAGATAAGTTGGGTAATTCACAGAGCCTTGCCCTCCATCTAGGTTGGTTGGTATCTTCTTGGAGCAACACACATCAAGGAGAAAGCCCACAGCCACCATAGCAACTGGCTTTCTCCCACAAACACCATCTCCTAGCTGAAGGTCAACATTATAGCCCATCACATTAGATATAATACCTCAGCTCTGGGGATGGCCTGATCCTAAACTCCAGCTAACATCCACTTTCAAAGTCACTCTGGCTACCCAGGATGCTGTGAACCAGCAGGTACCCAGCACAGGACAGCCACTGCTGGCAATTGAGAAACTCACCATACCAAAGCTATCTATAACCAAGGGAACAGAGCTTATGCCAGCCCCCTGCCAACCTCAAGTAAGAAGAAATTGTCTACTCAAAGAGAAAGAACCATGAACATAATCCTGACACTATGACAAAGTTCTCCAACATCCCCAAAAGACCATACCAACTCTTCAGCACTGAGTCCTAATGAAAATGAAATGTTTGAAATTCCAGACTTAGAATTCAAAAGGTTGATTACAAAATTGATCAATTAACTTCAGGAGAAAATTGAAAATCAACATAAAGAAAATTTAAAAACTAGCATGCTTAGCCCCTTGCCATGTGATGTCCTGTACCAAACTCTTCAGAGTCCCAGCCAACAAGAAGGCACTTACTAGATGTGATTACTTGACCTTGGCCTTCTTAGCCTCCATAACTACTCTCATGTAACATTGAAGGAGTCTCCAAAAATATGCAGAAAAGAATGATGAGGAAGAAGAGAGAGCCTTTCCAGCTGCCGAAAACAAGAGGGATAGCAGCACAAGAAGGACTCAACCTGCAGTTACTGGCTTTGAAGTTGGAAGATGGGGTCATGAGCCAAGGAATGTGGGCAGAAGCCAGAAAGCTAGAAAGGGGAGGGAAACAAATTCTACTCAAGAGCCTTCAAAAATGAATAAAGCCCAGCTGATGCCTTGATTTAAACACAGTGATATCCATGTTGAATTTCTGACCTACAAAACTATGGCAAAACAATAGTACTAAGAACTTCTGTTTCTTGTCCAGATTCACAGAGCCATTCGAGAAGTTATGAATGTTCCATTTCATCAGAAATGCCCTTCCCTTTCCCTCTCTCCTTCCTCTCCCTCCCTTCCTTCCATCTTCTCTTTTTTAAAAAACAGGTGAGTTTAGCATAAGGACTATGTGTTGTCCACTTGCTTATGTAAATGTTAGAGAAAGGGAGACTTTTCAGCTGCAACTATGTTCTTAGCTCATTAGAAAATATGATTAAACAGCCTATGATCAAATAGTTGAAATTTTAGCCATGTTACATTTTCTATCAGCACATCTTTTCTCCTCAAAATATAAACAGTTTTAAAAGTAAAAAAAAGACACTAAAAAAACTATTCAGGACTTGAATGAAAAATTTCCCAAAGAGGTAGACACCTTTTTAAAAAACCAAGTTGAAGCTGGGCTTGGTGGCTCAGCCTGTAATCCCAGCACTTTGGGAGGCTGAGGTGAGTGGATTGCCTGAGCCCGCAGGTTCAAGACCCGCCTGGACAACTTGGCAAGACCTCATCTCTACAATAAGTAAAAAAAATTAGCCGGGCGTGGTAGCGCACGCCTGTAGTTCTGGCTACTGGAAAGGCTGAGGTGGAAGGATCGCTGGAGCCCAGCAGGTCGAGGCTGCGGTGGCCGGGAGCGGCCGCTGCACTCCAGTCTGGGTGACAGAGTGAGACTCCAACTCAAAACAACAACAACAACAAAAAAAAACCAAGTTGAAATTCTGAAAATGAAAGAATAATTTAGGGAAGTACAATATGCCATGAAAAGTTTTAATAGTAGACTAGAACAAGCAGAAGAAAAGATCTCAGAACATGAAGACAAGGCTTTTGAATTAACCCAAACAGACAACAGTAAAGAAAAAGAATCACGAGAATGGGGGAAAAAAAGTGTCCAAGAAATGTGGGATTATGTAAAAAGTTTAAATCTAAGAATCATAGGTGTTTATGAGGAGAAAGAGAAAACATCAGGTTTGGAAAATCTATTTCAGGGAATAATGGAAGAAAATTTCCCAGGTCTTGCAAGGATCTAAATATTTAGATATAAGAAGCGCAAAGAACCCCCAGAAGATTCATTGCAAAAAGGTAATCCTAAATGCATATAATCATACGGTTATGCAAAGTTAATGTGAAGAAAAGAATTTTAAGAGCAGTGAGACAAAAGCATCAAATAATTTACAAAGGTAAACTCATCAGACTTACATAAGACTTCTCAGAAGAATCCCTACAAGCCAGAAGGGACTGGGGCCCCATCTTCAATCAGACAAGATAACAGTCAGCCAAGGATTTTGTATCCCACAAAAAGTTTCATAAATGGAAAAATAAAGTCTTTCCCAGACAAGCAAATGCTGAGGAAATCCGTCACCATTAGAACAGCTCTATAAGAAATATTCAAAGGAGTTCTAAATACTGAAGCAAAAAGTCAAAATACACCAGTAGAAAAAAACTGGAAACCTAAAGCTCACAAGCCTTATAGAAGACCAACACAACAAAGAAAATAAATAAATAAATAAAGCAACCAGATAATAACCAGTAAGATGAATGGAATAATACTTTACATATCGTTACTAATTCTGAACATAAATGGTCTCAATGCCTCACTAAAAAGGTACAGATTGGCAGGATGGATTTAAAAACCCACACAGTTCAAAATATATGCTGCCTTCAAGAGACCCATTTAACTCACAAAGACTCCTATAGGCTCAAGGTAGAGGGGTGGGGGGAAAATATTCTATGCAAATCGAAACCAAAAATGAGCGGGAGTAGCCATTCTCATATCAGGTAAAATAAAACTTAAATTAACAACAGTTTAAAAAAAAGGCAAAGATGGTTATTATGTAATGATAAAAGGATTGACCCAACAAGAAGACTTAATTTTTTTTTTTTTGAGTTGGAGTCTCACTCTATCACCCAGACTGGAGTGCAGTGGCCACTCCTGGCCACCACAACCTGGACCTGCTGGGCTCCGGTGATCCTTCGGCCTCAGCCATCCGAATAGCTGGAACTACAGGTGCGCGCTACCACGCCCGGCTGGTTTTTTGATTTATTGTAGAGATGAGGTCTCGCCAAGTTGCCCAGGTGGGTCTCGAACCTGTGGGCTCAGGCAATTCACTCATCTCAGCCTCCCAAAGCGCGGGATTACAGGCTGAGCTACGGATCCT